GGCGGGGATTGATGCGGGGCCAGCTGGGCAACGAGCGGTGCAGAACAACGGATGGGTTCAATCTTGTCAGAATAACGATAATGCCCTTCATTTTGCCTCCCCCCTTGGCGGTTCAGATAGGGATGAGCGCGGGAAACTGCGGGGTTTTGGGCAGGCAGCTGTCAGCACGTGGTCCGCACGGCTTGTTAATCCCTAATCTGATTTGTGTAATTAACTAACTAATGTGTAATGTTTTTGAATAATACAGTTCAGTGACTGCCTACCTTCGTACTTGTAACGTGTTTGCGGGAGTACTCTACTAGTGACAAATAAACTAATTAGTGCAAATCTATCAAAAATGATGTCATACAAAAGGACCCACTAAGCCGTGGTGACATTTGAATAGAGAGCTCATTAATCATCATAGTCTTCTTAAAATTTATCTAATTATGTGGATATAATCTTAGAATTTCTTTCAATACCAAACAGTACACATTTTATAAATGATGGACTGTCATTATGATGATGAGATGAGGGATGTTGTTGACAGACCTCTTTCACTCGCCACACGGTATGTGGACGAAGCAAGTAGTTAAGTTTCGTTCTCTATCTTAGAAATGTTTAGCATGTATTCACCTAAGACTATTATAAGTTGGGGTTGTAATGTTAAAGCATTTCCACCCAAAATGCACCTTAGTACATTTATTTCGTACATACATGCTCGTTTTTTTTTATAATCTTCCCGTTGCTTGCACATTCATGCATACATACATGCTCAATTTTTCATAACATCCCAATTGATTGACATCAATTTTCCAAATAACCGCTCACTTATAACACTCCTCCCCTAAATCATGGTGCACTAACATAACTTTATGTGCGCTAATGATAAAAAATTATTACAACTATTCCTCTCCTACCAAATTACTATAAATAACAATAATTTTTTATCGGATTTCTGCAATCAACATTCCAATTCGTAATTAAAAATTATATTGAGAAAAAGAGAGTCAAATCTAGCTCTCTTTGTTGCTTGCGATTAGGGGTGAGCACGGTTCGGTTCGGGGCGGTTTTTACCAAAATTTGAACAACCGAACCGAACCACCTACAATTCAAAACCGAACCGAACCATTACAAATCGGTTCGGTGCGGTTCGGTTCGGTTTGTTCGGTTCTAACTTCATCAAGTATAACTTCACTTCAATTTATCTTTTATATATTATTATTACCCTATGCCAGCATGTATTTATTTTTTAACTTCACTTCAATTTATCTTTTATATATTATTATTACCCTATGCCAGCATGAATTTGTTTTTTAACTTCACTTCAATTTATTATTCTTGCTCATGTATGTATATTGTTTTTAAGTAAAGTAACTTATCCTTTTGGATTAAATACTAGACTCTGACGTTGTAATTTTTTAGTAACGGACTTGCTTTGTCTTTGTGTAGCAAGCTTTGACTTTGGTCTTTGTGGAGACAAAAAAAGGAGATGACTCATTAGAACATTGGTAATTATGTATGAATCAATTCCCTGCAACTGCTATTCATGGTGATCGAACATAACAATAAACCCACAAATCAAAGGCACAAATATATTCGGTTGGTTCGGGTCGGGTCGGTTTGAAAAATTATCAACCCGACCCGAACCGCCTTACTCATAAAACCGCTTTTTCCGGGTCGGTTCGGTCGGTTTTTTCGGTTTGAACCGAACCGTGCTCACCTACTTGCGACTTAGGCATTCTCCAGCTCACTTTCTCTACAATCTTTATAATTTTCATGTTCTTTTCTTGAACAACATTGCTACAGACTGAGATCTAAGGAGTTCGATTATTTTTTGCCCCTTTTTTTGGAGATGATGCAAAAAAATAGATTTGTTTAATAAACAATATAATTAAAGTTTCTATACATTTTTTCCTTCTATTTTGTTCTCAAACTATAATCGTGCGGCATTTTGTTAACTATGAGGTTTTTAGTGATTCTTTACATTAATATGCGCATTGAAGTAAAGGAGCAAAAACAAACTCCTATCTTAATTATGTAGCTTATTAGTTTGAGGCTAATATTAATATATATTAGGAAATGAATTATAATAAATATAATAATTTAAGTAATAACTAAGTCAATTTGATATATTATAACAACATATTCATATCAAATTCATTGAAAATGTTGGTGGAATAAATTTGAATGATGAAAATAAAAATAAAAAATAAAGAGCATACTGACGATTTTACAAGGTCGTAATCTATTCATCTTTTTTATATTTGTTTTAATCTTTGATTAGAAGAATTTGATTTGTTGTTTAATTTTTGTAACTAAATGTTGATTTGGTTGACGAAGAATGATTTGATCTCTTGCATTGGTCTATTTTAGCTCATTAGCTCTTATATGATAACATTTTTATTGAAATTCGTGAAACTAAAAGTATCTATTCGTTCAGTGAAATTATACAATAAACTAATTAATTATAAATGTTAAGTCAATAAACTAGCATTTCAAAATCTAATTAGAATAAGTTATTTGCTAAGTAATAAATTTTTAAACTTGAGTTATTAGGTTTATTATAAAAAAAACTCTTCTATGTCAATGTTGTTTACTACAATCCATTAAACTTTTGTGAATGTCGATCTAGATCAATAACTAGGTAATGAGATGAGAAATATAAGACCGTGTTTTCACATATATCTACTCATATCATATTTTTTTGGGCACGATATATAGCAAGTCAAAAATACTTTGATTACTAAATTGGTAGTTAGTTTAATAAAATTATGTGAATAATAAAATAATAATAATATTCGAAACCTTAAAGTATGAACTCAAAAGGCTAATGAAAATTCGAAACATTAAAGTATCAATCTAATTTGAAATACTATTATATAATAAAAGTATCATTGCAATACGCATCTGTAGCCTACATATAAATACGAAAATAGGCGCACTTGCACACATGCACGATACTAGTTTAATAAAATATCCATGCCTAACGCTAGAGAACAAGGCTGTGGCCCTTGATGCGTCATATCACATATTTTGGATTATGTAGGCCAAAAGCCCACCAGAGCAATGAGCATGAATTCATGAATCAATCAGTTGGGGGTCTCAGGGCTCAGACCCAAGACCATAGGAGCATAGAGCCAAAGACATAATTTGTTCAACTAGCTTGTCTTTTGGCTCTACTACAAAATGCAATTCTCTTTTATCTTCTAATAAAAACATTCAGTACAAAGGCAATAGCGGAAGCTCCAAAGTTTTAATTTAACGAGATTGAAGCGCTTATGTGTGATGTTT